GAGCCAATCGCAGCCCGATAGGTGGGAACTTTACGGACTAAGGCTGTTTGAAAGGTTTTCTTCCATAAAATTAACCGATTCTAGACTAATTCGACTCAACATTTCCAAAACATGTATAATTTTTTGGAAATAATCCGTATAAACTATGCTATAAACAAAAAATTGTAGGATTACTTACCAAGTGTGCACCGTTCGACTACGCCGTTGCTTACGCTTGTTTTCGTCGTGGAGCAGTGCACCAAACGGCGGCCGCGTTTTCTGATAAGTTATTTTTCTGCGAAAACTTCGTTGAACTTTGGAGACATCATTAATATAAATAATTTTTATGGCTGTTGAATAAGAAATGTTTCTTTCACAAGATATGTATAAAATTAGTGCTGTATTAGACTTACGGTACCTAATTTACATACTGTACAGACGATAGCAAACGCAATTTAGCCGCCTAAACTCTCCGTAGCGTGGCGCTGGGCGGCGGAAAGTAGTTCGGCTGCTCGTCCACTATTGGTCCAGATTCGACCAATCTTGTCGCGACAGGAGTCGGCGACGACGTTTTACGAGTCACTTTATACGAATACTGCTACAATTTTTTCGCTACGTTATAGGAATTTCGTTATAGGATCCCACGTTATAGGGGAGTCGACTGTATTACTAAATGTAACCGAGTTTATATGAAAATAAACTCACAATTGTTACACTGAAAGTTTATGGAGAAAAATGGATCCCAAGTGTAACGATAAAGTGAAGATTTGTAGAGGCACAAATTTACTGAATACTTGTTCAGTCCGTCACTGCATGTATGATTAATTGTTGATAATAGAAATCAATTGTGCGAAGACTTATATTACAGTCTATTTTTCACAGTTGGATGAAGAAAATAATAGTATGCATAATTGTTACTTTGAAAGTTTCTTGGGTAAAAATTGATCCCAAGTGCAACGATAAAGTGAAGGTTTGTACAGGCACAAATTCTCTGAATATTTTTTTCAGTCTATCACTCCATGTGTGACCACCAACAGACAACAGATGATTCAATCCAAAGCATCTCAGAGTCTATGGGCAGAGGCTATCAACACAGCAGCCTATATAAGAAATCGTTGTCCCACCAAAACCTTAGAAGAAGCCGCTTCATTCGAACTGTGGACTGAAAATAAACCTTACGTTGGATTTGTAAGAATTTTCGGTAGCAAAGCAATTCCTCTGCAAAAGAGACAGAAGAGAAACAAATTTGAACCAAAGGGAAAGGAATACATTCTAGTTGGCTACTCACAAGAGTTAAAGGCATAACGACTCTGGGAGCAAGGCACTAAAACTGTCCTAAAGGCTCGAGATGTTCGTTTCGTCAAAAAATTAGAAACCGAAAACAAACAAGGCTTGTTTAGTGCACCTTTAGATTTAACACCAAGCATTAAAAAAAAAAACATTGAAGTTGATGAGAGTAATATTCCTTCCACTGATACGTAAAACGAAAATATTCCTTCACATGATGAAACATTAGATCCGCAACCACAACGCAAAGCGGGACGCCCATGATAAATTAAAAGTGGAAAACCTGGAAGACCAAAGAAAGTGTATAATGAAGTAGCAGATATCGCAAAATGCGACGTGTTGCCAGATCCTACAAGTGTGGATATAAAGTGTATTATGGAGGTGTAAATTATTTATCGCTGAATTCAGGAGGACAAGCGCTCTCAGTGAGTATTGTTATTTTTCTATTCGGTGGACTTTCGTTCGAGTTTTCGAGGCCTGAAATTTCGGTTTTGGGCAAGTTGTCCCACGGGTTAAGCTCTTTATTTCGTTCGCAGGTATAGACTCTTTGAATTGTTATTATAATTATAAATATAATTATTTTGACAGTGAGATACTCATCAACTGCGGAAAACACGACTCGTTTCCTTATATCGCAGTGGCCAAGGTGCACCTTTTCACTCTGAACAAAGGGCCTCGTTCCCTACCACGTGGTGGAGGTAGCTACTCAGCGTGCTGTAGCCGTTTGGCGTACTGTGTACTGTTGCTACTCCGTTGGGGACATTTTGTATTAACTTATTGCATCGGTTAAGTGGCTTGGACTATACACATTGTTCAGTACTGCTTGTATCTTCAATATGGAAGGTGTTACCGTACCTTGGGACAATGTCAATTTCCTCGAGGAAACTATTCTCGCAGAGGCCAATGAGCACTTTGTCAGAATTCTAGACCTAGTGCCAGAGTCTTATAAATCGAGTATACCCACTAAGGAGCGAAAGGAAGTTCGGGAAAGGCTTACGCGCCTTTTTTCTTGCCTTGGTCAATTCCAAGGCATCCTGCGTGAGGTCAGATCCAACCACCCCAAGTGTTCTCCGCCAACAGCCCAGGCTGTTCCGACTACCACGTATGCAGACATCACCCGGCTGAATATGAAACCTACCTCAACAACCAGGACAATAAACAAATCTCTCCGATACAAGCTAGAAAACGAAGGCTATGGCGGAAGCTTTGCTCTTCTCCTGTACCCAAAAACTGACGAGGAGGGCGCCAATTCCACTACTAACATGCAACTCATTGAAAGTGAAATTATGAAAAAGATAAAACCACATGAGCTCAAAGTGAAAGTTAAAGCAGTGAGAAAAGTAAAGGGGGATGGCATTTGTTTCAACAGAAATAGCCACAAGGAGGCCGAAGTCTTAGCGGAAGCCATTGAAAAGCTTTGAATTTCTGGAAGCCATTGAAAAGCTTCCAGAAATTCAAAGTAAAATCAAAAGCAGGATATCTGAGGGAAGGAGACCCAGAGTAATTCTTAACAACGTACCCATCACTGTTGATGAGGCTAAAATTCTCCCCATAATCTACGAACAAAATGACTTTCTCCACACTACCACCAAAGAGGAGTTTCTCGACAATACAAGGGTAAGCACAATCCTGCACAGAAACAGTACTAATGAAAATTGCAGGCACATCGACACATACCATGAATACCAACGAATTCAAGATTATCTCGCTGGATCATTTTCCTTCAGGAATTCGATTTTGATGTCATACATAAGGCTGGAAACTGTCATAAAAATGCTGATGCCCTCAGTCGTATTCCAATCCGACAAATAAAAGATGTTAAACCTTATACACCTTTGTAGTACGTTTGGAGTACCCTTATACAAGCCTTAAAAGTAGGAGAAACGGTAGGATCTTATAATAACTTTTCCTTAGAAGATTTTTTCCTGAATGATGAAGGAGCACTTTGCCATAAAGGCACAAATAAACGACATACGGATTGGTGGAAACAAATCGTTGTACCTACTAGTTTTAAAGATAATATCCTATTCACTTTCCATAATAATCCCCTATCTGGACATTTAGGAGAATTAAAAATGCGAAATAAGATCGCAAAATCATTTTATTGGGGAGAAATGGTGAAAGAAATTCGCAATTATTGTAAAAGTTGTCAAACCTGCACGAAACACCGATGAGGAGGTAAACGAGCACAAGCCGAATTACAATTATTCTCTCTTCTATCTCACGTGTTCAAAAGAACCGTAATGAATATTGTAGGACCACTTCTTAGTACTACTAATGGAAATAAATATATCCTAGTCTTCGTCGATCACTTTAGTCGATATGCGGAAGCCATCCCAATACCTGACGTCACCAGCAAAACTATAGCCAAGGCATTCGTCACTCACATTGTATTACGTCACTCAACGCCGACTCAATTATTAACGGATAGAGAACCTAACCTCATCTCGAAAATGTTTATGGAAGTATGTAAACTATTGCAAATAAAATGACTCCTCACAACTGCCTATTGTCCCTCCTGTAATGGTGTCGTTGAAAGATTTAACAAGACTTTAATTGATATCCTATCTCACTATGTGGCTAAAGATCAACGAGATTGAAATGAATGGATTCCTTACGCTCTGTTTCCATATAATACGTCTATACATGCATCTACAAATGAAAGTCCCTTTTTCCTTTTATATGGGAGAGACCCAACTTATTCATTTGATCTAGTCACTAGCTCTACTACTGTATCCTATGATGTGGAAGACAATTTTGCCTCTGAATTACGACTACAAATGCAACATGCACATCAAACCGCTCAGAAATTTTGTGAACAAGCTGCAGAAGAAAGACAAATGAGACACCGCCGACAAAACAAACCTCCACGTTATCAACTGAGAGACCGAGTGTTATTAAAGGAAGTTGTCATCAGAAATTAGCTCCTCGATGGTCAGGAGCTTATCGAATTATTGAAATCCTCGGTCCTGTTAATTTTAAGATTGAAAATATCAAGACAAAACGAAAACTACGTGTACACGCTGACCGAATTAAACGAACTAGTGCAAGAAAGGAATTCAACCTTGACCCAAAAACAACAACCGAGTCACTCGTCTCCACACCGGAAGAAGATACAATGGAGCCGCAACATCATCTTTCACCCGACCCATGGGATAAATTCATTTTAGCTTCCATCCCTACCTCCCCTCCAGGAAGACCACAAGAATCAGAAGGTGAAAGTTCAAGTGAGGAATCCGTGGACGAGGAAGAAAGTAAAAGTTCGGAGCCGGAATCAGAAGGAGAGTTGGAGAGTACGCCTCCTTATGCTCTTAGAAGCCAAGGGCCGGTTGCAGAACAACCTTGGGTTATGCCTCGACCCACCCGAAGCCGCATACCTCGATTTATTTCTCCTACCACTAGTAGAACATCTTCCCCTTAAGTTAAAGCAGGTATTCTAAATCAAAAAAAGAAGAAGAAAAAAAACGGGATTGCACCTTGAGAGAGATAACAACCAATTCCGAGATCTTAGGTGATACCTTTCCCCTCATTTCCTTACGTATACTTTTCTACCTTCCAGAGACACATGGCCTCCTCTGATCAGGAAGTAGCCATAACGGCATTGTTGAGCTGCCCTGTTTGTCTTACGACAGTTAGACCGCCAGTTTCTCAATGTACGAATGGGCACATGATATGCTCCCAATGCCGACCGAGAATCTCGACATGTCCCACCTGCCGGGAGACTCTAGGCCAAATACTGAGCCTATTGGCAGAACAACTTGCCTCGTCATTGCGATTTCCTTGCACCAATTCAGCTTTTGGATGTTCTGAATTATTGAATGAATTGGATCGAGAGGGTCACGAGAGCCTCTGTCCTCATCAACCGCTATCTTGTCCTTTATCCCATCTTGATTGTGTCTGGGAAGGAACTCGTCCTAATTTGTTATCTCATATAAGTCAAGCCAACCCACAGGTGCCCCACTTACAACAGTCCTTCTTAAACTTTTTAGGAGTCCATGCTGACGATACATTACCCAAAAGTTGGGCAGTTGTTTTAGAATGTCATCTCCAACAGTTCCTGATACTGGTAACAAAACAACAACCCGACAATCCAACGTTTCTCATAAATGTATATCTCCTATCCGATCAGCATCACTCCTCATCCCCCTTCACTTATTTTATTGCATTTAAAAGAGGTCCTAATACACTCGATTGGAAATCCTCTCACATCCCCTTGTGGGGATTCCCTAATTCACAACCTTTCGTGCCTTTAACATTACCAGCCAATATAGTATATTCCTTTTGCGCCCATGACAATTTTAAATTTTTTTGTAAGATATCAACCCATTAAAAACTTTTTTTTTTCTTTCCTGCCCATTTCAGAATGACAGACGCAGATGGATGGTGGGAATCCAACTCCCCATCGCCTCCTCCTAAGCCACCTACGAATGCCGCCTCCCTTCAGGCTGCATTGCAGTTTGCCCGTCTTCAGAGACAAAAGGAGAGTACCCCTTTCACCATTGTCCTCCCCGTCGGCCACGAATGCCCTCCTGACTTGAATGACGCATTCCAGGAGGAAACTTGTGCAAGCGAAGAGTCATTCCAAGCCCAATTTCCCATTCATGCATCCAGAACACCAATTCTAGGCCACCGCCGCCCCAAGAGCCCTCCCAACCATCTCGTTCCTCAAGAGGTCGCCGTTGATCCCCTCGATCCTAAAGGGCACCTGACCACTAGATACATCTCTTTTCCTTAAATATATATATCCTATCATCAAGTATCGAAGCGCCCAATTCACATAAATGTATTGCCTACTTATATTATCCAATAAATATCCATATTATTAGAATCTGATACTATTTGTCTTCCCTCTACACACCACCTAACATAACAATACCGGCGCGATGCGTCACTTATGATTATCATAATTTATTTCCTTAACCTCTTTTTATCATAATCAAAGGAGGGACCATGAAAATTTAATAAGAATATTTCCTTATTCTAGTGGAAGAAGTTTTCCTTACGTAAAAGTGGACCTTAACCACATTGACATAGTGCAAAAACGACGAAGTCATCCACAAAGTCAGATTGAGTTATCTCGAAATCACCTTCCTTATCCTTAACATCGGATGTACAACAATGGACCTGTATCAAGCCCTGTGGAGTTTACAAAAGGAGTACTTTTCATTCACCAAGGAAATTTTTTAATGACCGCAAGTCACTGGACCTTGGTCACTGAACTCAATTTTGAACATGTGGAACGACAGATTCAATTCGTCTCACAATCTTTATTCTATTTAGGTGCCATGATACAACGAGAACACACGACTCTGAAAGATGGAAACTGCTCCAACCCAATGGAATCTCCCTACAAAAGGTTTTGAACTAATTCAAACTTCATTTCTCAATTATCACAAACAATATAAAGAACTTATTTTTTTTCTAGTGCTAAGAAAGAGAGAAAACAAAAGAGAAAAAGTTCGTTTTGGACCATTCTCTATGTAAACATACCTCTACTCAGACAGAACACCCAAAACGTTTAAAATCACACTACTAAGTGCGATTTTAAAGAAAACAGGGAGTGAATGTGAAATCCGGAATTTTTACCGAATTTTCCGATTAATATCCCGCATTTTTCTAAACCCCCAATTAAATTTTCCTTTAAATTCTAAACTAAAACCTAACTTAAAAAAAAGAAGAAAATTCCAGTCTCCCCTGGAATTCTCCCCTGAAAATTCGTTCAAAGTAAACATCCGTCCATTAATATGCATAAATGTCCTTAATTTAAACAAATTATTCTTTCAATCACCATAACAGTGTATTTCTATTGAAATACACTGAAAAGTGAAAGTGAAGAACGACAAGTGGAAATGAATGTTTTAAAATTGATATTAATTGTAATTGGAATGAATTATCGGAGGAAAAGTAGAATAGAAAGAAAGAATATCAAAATAAATTTGTTGGTTAAATAGCTGCTGAAGAGGGACAAACAAGTCCGAAACGCAATTTGTGTGTCCAGGTAATTGTAAATAAAACAATTTTAATCTGTGTGACTGTGTTGCTGTAATCTTATACACACAACCTAGCCATCAAAGAATCATCGCTGGACCTTCCTGTATAGACTAATGACCGTCACCTCCATCCCAATTGTATTGTCATTGGGTGTCAATACAGGTGTGAGAGTCGATTTTAGGGAATAAATTGATAAACAAATTTTTGTTGAGGGAGGAAAAGTGTAAAGAAATAAATTTCAAACCGATATAAAAAAAGAACATAAAAATGTTTTCCCATGAACTTAGTTCCTTGTCAAGTATGATACATCGAATGTGTCACCCGAAATCACGAAAAGACTATTGGTCAGTAGTGAAAAAACAGTCCTAATAAGGCAGTGAAAAAAACCCAACGAGACCCCCTTTATAAAAAGGAGGGGTCGATACGTAAGAGTCAGTCTCTGGAAATTGGTGCACTGTGCAATTTACGTGAACGGATTAGCCGCTACCCAGAACTCATCTAATCGCCGCTGTTCGGAAGGACTACGCCCAACAACGTTCGAAAGAACTTTGTGCAACTGGGAAAAGCGTTTCAACGTTCGAAAGAACTTTGTGAAGTCACTAATCGACGATTCAAACCAAGGTATTTATCCTCGCGCGAAATTCATGTGAGCTCTCTCTCAGGAATACGGGTAACCAGGCAAAAATAGATATGTTCATTGAACCGATTGTATATAGCTTTTGCGATTGTATATAGTATGCACAATAAACGGGCATTATGTATAGATTATGTAGAGTGTACTCCCTCTGATTCTCTCGTTACGCCTCCATCCCGGAACTAAAAGTCCACAAACGCGACCGTTCGCGTAACAAAATAAACGGCCAATAACTTTTTTCTGTGTCCGTTAAAGGACACAGTGGTGTCATCCTGACAGTGCGCCAAAGAGGTGCCGACCCTGCGGTCACACAGGCACTACTGTAAATTACTGTATTCACTGTATCATTCTAATGTAACCCACCAATCATTAATATGTAACCAATATCTCAACATGTAAATACGCGTCTTATTTTGTTCCTTTTAATGTTTATATCCCTGATGTATTATGTTTTTTCTAATTAATAAATGCGATGCAAGACCTCATGGTACCCCATGCCTTCCCTTCACACTTTCCTATCTTCCTTTATCTCTTTCCTCTTCCTATATCTCTAAGTTTACTCCTTCCTTCAATTCAAAAAGGCAAAGTCTGTAGCTTGATTACAGACAGCTCTCTTATAACTTTTAATCTGATGTCTGATAGGTCCTATTAATAGAAATACACTGTTATGGTGATTGAAAGAATAAACATCCGTTCATTTCGAAAATAACCTCACATTCCAACTCCAAAGTTGGTAGTTAGCATGGGCCCGGGGACAACTTTGACCCATCGGAGTACCTTTTACCTCACAACAATTGGTCACATGACCATTCTCCCACCACGTAACTATAAAAGCCACTTGCTTCCCCCTCTCGGGGGAGTCGTTCATCCACCGTTAGTTCGATATAGTGTCCTACGAATATTATATCCTAGAAATATTGTCCTAAGAATCTTATATCCTACGAATACTGTGTCCTACGAATCCTACGTGATCCTTCAAATATTACGTTTAATCGTATATTTCTCAACGAGAAGTATAAATTTTTTCCTCAAAGGATTATCTTCAAAAAGAGGTATGGAACAAATTTTTGTGAACTCTCTCTCAGCCCTTCGCGTTTTAGGGACTCAGAAATTTCCCTCGATACTAGTTATTGTATCATGTATATATGTAGCTAATAAATCGTTGTTTCCTTGTTAAATTGGTGTCCTACTTTTACACGTATATCGCCTGTCACCTTACCGATGGCACTCCTCCCTCCTCCACTCGATCCGAACAATTAAATCCCGTTACCGCGTGATAGGGAAAAAGAAACATTTAAGCCATCTTGACAGCAAGCAGGTTTAACGACTTGTCGCCGGAAAGGGAGAATTCCAACCTCCCAACGGTTCACAATACCAATATATTTATATATGCGAGACATATTTTTTTTAGTTGTTATTATATTAAAATTATAGATGGCGGAAGCCACAAAAATTAATCCAATGATATAACTAAAATGCATTGAAGTTTTTATTATAATTAAAAATTCCTTTCGTATGTATCACATGATTATCAGGATAAAACCATCAAACCATTAATTTTAAGTGGGAGAACTATCCAAAAAAGAAAGTAAATGAAAATAAATCATTATTAGAAAACTAGGCTATATCTTACCTAAAAAAATAATCAATTTAGTTCCTTAAACACAAATTGGATAATCTCCCCAGTTATTTTTAGTTGTTAACGTTACACGAATCTCTTAATTCTGTAATATTTTTGACACTTTTCTTCCTTAGATGCAAACTACATGCAAAAATATTTGAATGATTTGATGCATGGGGAAATTAGTTTAGAAATTGGTATCCCATCGAATTTAAATATCAGTACACCGAAAATTGTTCGAATTTTTAGAGTCGTAGAAAAGGATGGTGAATTTGGTAAAATATTCATGTAAGGATGCTATATTTATAATATAATGCTATATTTTTTGTATTAATTTGTTTGGAAATTTATTAGAACTCGCAGAAGGAGTCCAATTCAATTTTGAAGAGGGCGAAAAAGGTGATCAGCCTGAGATAAACAAACATGAGCAGAAAAAGAAACAAAAGGTTATAGTTATTTAATACATTCATACTATTCAATTTCAAAATTTATTTAACAAATACAAAATAATAAGTAATATATTAAATATCGAAGTACTTTCCTTTTTCAGTTGAATGGTCTTGTGATAATCCGGAGGTACTCTTAAAAAGAGTTAAATAATTTTTCACCCTAAACAAACTTAAATAAATAATTCACTTTAATTTCACTTAAAAATGCTTAAAAAGGATAAAATTTAAAATAAAGTTAATATAACCAAAAAAGGTTATAAAACTTTAACATCCTGCAAAACTGCTATGTTACTCAGCAGTTTAGCAAGAAATGATAATGTTTTGCTTCCTTCCTCCACTCCTCGTATCTGAGAATTTTGCACACCGCCTGGTCCATTGACACATCATTTCTGATAATCATGATGGTGCGGAATATTGAGATAAAAAGGCTGAGTTTCAAACACTCGGGGCAGTTCCCCCAGACTTGCCATATGGAGTGCTACTCCTCCAACGACTGAACCTGTCCTCCCGACTCTACTCTACAGGAAGAGAATAATAAGCTAGGAACAACGAGGTAATATGATTTATTGTGAACTCTCTCTCTCGGTTGAACAGATAGATCCTAGTCTCGCGATAGGTTATAAATCCTGTATTTT